CGGGAAGACCTACATGCGCTTGTGCGTGTATGTCTTCTCTTTTATTGCTAGTGGGGTGGGACTAAGTCTCTTGTACTGCGGCCACTTCTGGCCTAATGTACCAGCCCCAGATGATAGGTGAGGGTGATTGTCAGGGGAAACCGAAGTACTCGAAGAAAACCTGCCCCAGCGCCACTTTGTCCACCACAAATCCCACTTGACCAGACCCGAGATCGAACCCGGGGCCGCCGCGATGGGAAGCCAGCGACTAACCGCTTGAGCTATGGCGCGGCCCTCCGTGTGTGTCACTAAGCATTCATCGGAGAGAAAAAAGTTTCGGGGGAGGGGGAAAAAGTGGAATGCAGATTTTAGGTCGAATAAATTTTTTCCCCATAAGCCATATAACTTTCGAGATAATTAAGCAGAAGTGATCTTATGAGTTCGTTTTCGAGCTTGCATATTCAACATTGAATCACGGTTTCCTAAACGAAATTATGATGATGATGATGATGATGATGATGATGATGATGATGATAATGATGATGATGATAATAATAATAAATCTCCACTGAGTTGATAATAGGTTAAAATCAGGCTTGTTTTACTTCTTGAATGTAATCCTGTGTTGCAATACTACATTTAAGCATATATTAAATAGCTGTTATATATTTAACTTTCGTTAAGTGACGAAAATTGAGGATAACTGAGGAGCTACTTGAATGGAAAAGTAGCGGCTCCGGTCTAGAAAACCAAAATTAACGGATTTTTTTATTATTATAGAAAAAAATCAAATAAATACAAAAAAGGCCCAGACAATGCCCATCCGGCCTTCTGTAGCATAGGCCATGGGGATGGGTTGCGCTGTCAATGCGACACCCTCTAGAGGTAATACTCTAGATTTCTATCTGAGAGGTGCTTGTTTTGAATCTCAAACAGGGCACCAGCTATCATGACTGAGTCTTTTCATTGTTTTCTTCAATCCCTCCAGGCAAATGCTAAGATAATACTAACCTGACCTAAGGTCATGACTGCATCCGTCCATATCCCCTTAAATTTATTAATCATTCTACCACCTGAAGCTATACACTCTCAATAATGAAACAGTGTTTTGAATTGTTTCATTTTTTGGTCCGTTACACTATCAATCACAAAGTTAATAGAAAGTCCGTCGAGTGTAACAATTTGTAGGTCACTTCTTTATCACTTCTGCCTTACATGTTTCGGTTTGACACAACCATCATCAGAGGCACTTACTACAATTATGAAAACACTGTCGTTGTTTATGATGTTCACAGTTATGTTTGTTGTGTGGACGCTGCTACAATATGTTGACGTGTAAAAGCACAACACTTGCTAGGATAGTTGAGTACACTATCAAATTCTCACTTTCCATCCAAAACTGTTTTTAAGTTAAAACGCTAATGTTAAAATATTTAAAACATTTG